CGCCTCTTTGCCAAACCACTCTGCCTTGGAGCAAGCTGATTATGAACCTCTATAAACCTCTATAAACTGTGAGCTAAATAAACCTTTCCTCCCTTAACTTGTGGGTGTTGGGTATTTTGTCTCAGCAATGAAAAAAGTAACAGTCAGACCCCAGGTCTGTGCTAGATTCAGGCAACACCAGGCCATAGGAGTAGGTTGAGGGCACCAATTCTGCAACTTTGAAATACAGAGAAATTAAGGCTGAGCCTGGCCTCTGGTCATGGGGGTCAGGCCTATGTCCTTTAGCTTAAAACCTCAAGAAGTCTTTTGCCAGCCTGACCACAACTCCCTCAGCATAGGTGTATCCTGTGGCTGTCCCTCATGCAGTTACTGTGGGAACATAACACCAATAGTCCTGAATTGAAGCCACCTTGCCGCTGCTCTGAGTCCTGGGTTCAAACAATCGACACCTCCCTGAAATGACATCTGACCAAGCACTCTCTCCAGTGAGTATGGTGGATTCTTGGTCTGGAGTCACTCATTAGCTGTTACAGCTCACAGCATACACTGATCTATCCCATCACCGAGTTTCTCTCCAAGCCCTCTGGAATCCCCTACTTTCACTTTGTCTCTTTAGATTCCATCTTATTTTGTTGCAAGCCATGAGCTGGGAACTGGGGAAAGAGTACAGATTTCCCCTTCCTTTTCTGCACTGTGTTCCATCTTTTTAATTTCTCTATAGGTTTTAATTTTCTGTCAGATCCTTCCTGGTTCCCTGGGATCTACTTTCCTCTTTTTTATTTTTAACTTCCACAAGTTATTTCCCAGTGTCTGTATTCCAAAACTCAGAGAGGCTGAAATGTTGTTGCCTACAACTCCACCATGTTTTGGAAGTTGCCAGCTTTTTCAAGAGAAATCAGAAATCAAGTTTTTAAATCTGCTAGCTAATCACATTTAAAAATATGCAAGCTGAACAAGATGACTCTGATCTGAGTCTGGGCTGAAGGCTTTCCATTTGTAATATTTGCTATAGAGTACACTTCCCATTCTCACTGCCATCCTTTCTAATCATTTCTGTTTTTGTGACACACTTGCCTTGGTCAAAAGACTAGGTTTTATACGCTCAAACCTGACTTCAACTGTCAGTAACTCATGCATTGACAGACTGGCTACAATACTGTAGCCTATGTGTTTTTCCCCCCCAGTACCATGGATCAAACTCAGGACCTTGCACTTACCAGGCAGCCATGACACCGCTGAGCCACATTCCCAGCCCAGACAATGTGTTTTTAACGAACACATTTCATATTCTTTAGTCCAAGTTTCCTTTCATGGGATCAAAGAATTAATGAGTCAGAAGGGAGCTTGGGGGTGGAGGTAGGACTATCCTCTAATTCAGCTTCCTCCTTTCTTTAGCATACTTACAGATGGTCACTCAGGATCATACAGTATTGCTACAGACAGGCAGCTCATGCCCATTATATTTTCTAACTTTAAAAACAATTATTTCAGAGTGTTAATGGATATGAAATAAGGTAATATTATTATCATTTGTTTAGGACTTTGGATGCAATAGGCATTGTTTTCTTCTTTGTTTGTTTTTGATTTTTTTTTTTTGAGACAAGTTCTCTCTATGCAGTCTAGGCTGAACTTGTTCTTTCAGCATCTTTCTGCCTCAGCCCCTGAGTCTTAGGATCTCAGGTGTGCCAATCCGGACACTGTTTTGAGCACTTTACATATGTGGCTCTTTATAACCTCTCAAATACTCTGTGTGGAAGACACTATTGGCATCTCCATGTCAGAGACAAGGAAGGTGAGAGACTAAGTCAGTTAACCAAAGTTGTAGAACTTTTCAATGGCAGAGGTGGTGTTTATATCCAACTAGTCTGACTCCCACTCTGTCTATGTATAAAGCACTTAGCACAGAACAGAATATGCACTCAAAAAAGGCCAGGAATAGTAAAAATGGCAATCAAGCATAAAGAATGCCCAGAAAAGGTTGTAGGGGCTCCTTTATTTGAGGTGGTTTGGGGAATGGTTCATTTCCTAAGTTCACTTTCAAAATGGATGTGTACACCTTGAGAAAAATCTTTTAGAAGGCAGATTAAGAAACTCCAAGAGAGGGAAGGTCTTAAAGCAAATAGAGCAGGAGTTCTGGGATCAACTGTCAGATGGCATTGCAGACTCTATTCCATGTTTCTTCACCTTAGTTCTTTTCTTGATCTTGGATCTTCATTTTCCACTGTCTGTGCTCTTACACCCCAGAGCCAGGATTTCTCCCACCTTTGTTCCTCTGAACTCAAGACTTCACCTTCCAATAACTTTGAACATTTCCTTTATTTTATAATGTTCCAAAATGCATCAGACATTTAATATAAAGTTTAGCCAGTAGGTGTCAGGATCTATCACAAAGTGAACCATTGTTTAAACCATCTTTGACATTTAAATTCAAAGATTAAAAGATCCAAATTAAGTAAAACAAGCCAGTTTCCTAGTTTATTAATACTTACAAAGTTATAATACCATTTCAACTTTTTGTTTCACTGGATATATCTAGAAGTTATGCTTCAAACATTTTAAATTTTGGGAAAACTTTGGAGATAGAAGTTGACTACTTGGTACAGAGATCAAGAAAATAATTTTTATGTAAAATTATTCATTCATTGATGAAGTTATTTATTAACCTTATTATTCTGTATATTCATTGGTAAAGAAGTGACAGCCAGGAAATCCAAGAGTAGGACATCCTTCTAGTATAGAAGATCTTGCATGCTATAGGACACTAAAGTTTTTAATGAGACATTTTAGGCTACTGGTACCTTTCTGGGGTGTATATTTGCTTTAACTCTGTTTTTTCCTCCCAACCTATAGACATTCTACAAAACATATATTTGTACCCCCATTTTTTTGTGACAGGGTCTCCCCAGGTAGTCCAAGCTGGCCTTTGAAATCACTATTAGCCCAGCCTGGTCTCAAACCCATGGCAATCCTCCTGCTTCAGTCTCCCAAGTGCTCAGGTTATAGAAGTGCACCACCATGCTCAGCTGTACTCTCATTTTAAGAAAAGGGAGCATGTGAAAACCTGGATGTACTAAATAGCTCACTATCATTGAGTCAATACTGACTGAACCTGATGCAGGAGATGAAATATGAAAAGATTATATCTCCTTACCTGTCAGATGTCTAATATGTTGAGATGCTCTCCAGATGGTCTATCTAAAATGCCTTGATAGACATCAGGCATTCTTGTCTTGGGTAGGCATATAGCTTTAAGTCTGGAGGAGCAAGGCCAAAGAAACAGTTGAGTATTCATGGGCCAAACAATAAGATCAACAAGACTATTATGGGCCAGGGATTTAGCTCAGTGGTTCCGCAGCCTGCCTTGAAAGCACAAGGACTTGAGTTCGATCCCTGGCACCAAAACAAAACAAAACAAAAAAAAACAAGACTATTATGAATATAATCAAGAAATGTTTCTACCAGGAAGAGCCATAATAGCCTTCTACAAAGAGGATAAGGAGAAGGCAATTTTAGAATCTGACATCACCTTAGCCTGTCATTTATACATTGAACAGCCATTGAGATATTAGCAGAAGAATCAGAAATATACACACACCATTTGTCTTTTATAATTGCACAAGTACCCCTTTGTGCTGCAGTCAGGATGTCTAATGTCACCTGATTTTGGAGGATGACTAGCTTCATTAATTTTACTTCTTTTTTTATTTTTTGGTACCAGGAATCAAATTTGGGACCTTGCACTTGTAAGGCAGGAGACAGAACCACTGAGCTAAATCCCTGGCCCATTAATTTTACTTCTTCATTTAGAAGAGAGATACCAGTTGAGGTATCTTTTTTTTTTCCTTAAATTCTTTTATTGGTACATTTTAGGTATACAACACAATTACATTTCTCATTGGGAACTTGTACCTTTAGTTGAGGTATCTTTAAGCCTCATTGAGTATAGTTAGTCAAGACCTCGATGTGTTGCGTGTCATCCTCTAATCCTAGGGAAGAGTCAAAAATAGAAGCCAAATGGTCATACCAGTGTGCAGGGGACCACAATATTGATTATGCCCAAAGCAAGCTGTAAGCAGTGCAGGCTGTAAAAAGTTAACCCCTCAATTGGCTTGTTTTGAGAAGTGAATCCAGCTAAAGCCTATGTGCTGCGGTCAGAGTAATTCACACCCAAATTCCATTACCACAATTCAAACCTTCTTAAGTAGAAGGACAAGGTTCTAACTACAACCCTATATTTTGACTATCCTGTTGCTAATTCAAGAATGCTTTGTCTTGTCCTTTACAAGCCTTGATGCATTAGTATTCATAGTAACTGCATGACTGCCTGTCCTCACAGGTAGTTCCCCTTTAGCATGTAGTTTGCCCTTACATCAATTGATTACCAATAAAAATCAGTGGCTTTGACTGACCAGGGCCTTTGCTGCTTGCTCAGCATTAGCTGTTGTAAGACTGAACAACAGTTACTCCATCTTTGTAATAGGGCCCCAACTTTCTGCTTCTGTTATGGATCACCAGGTAGACATCAAGTTCCAGGGATGTGCTTGTTGTTGTGCCAGGAAGGTCTATTGTGTGCATAGTGTTCTGTCATGCTTGCCCAACTCCATATCTGAATATGTTATCTTAAGGACAATCTGTAAAAGGTCTGTTTTATCTCTCTCCTTGGCTTTTGTATTTCTGCTTGCCAACTTCCCCTGAGAACCCCCTATAAAAACAGCTTCAGACTCTGAGCCAGTTGCCTCTCTAAGCTACTTTGCTTTGGGAGTGCCATCTGGCCAGACTAATAAAGGTCTGTTTTACTTTCCAACATGTCCGGTGTGTTCCTTCCCAGGTGTTCTTCACTACAGTCAGCTCCTCGGAGCATTTGGTAAGGCCCTTGGTCTTACATTCTGGAGGCCCCAGCGAGATCCCTGGGTAGGAACCCCCAGTTCAGCCGAGACTCCGTGGCGGGATCCAGCAGGAGACTCTCAGGCACAGACCTCAGAAAACCTCCGGAGGTAAGCTTTTGGCTGGTTGCAACCATATGTTAAGTCAGGAGTGAGGTGGCTGACGAGCCGGGAAACCTCCCCTGACCCCGAGGTTCCTGACGAGGAACAAGGGAAGATTTAGTTTCAGTTTGTCGTGGTGCCCATTCATCTTGTCTTTTGTATGTTAATGTTGTGTCTGTTGTGTGTTTGATTTTACATTTTTTTCTTTCTAATCTTCATCAGGAGCAGAGTAATGGGAGGAACCTGTTCTACCGGGTCCACTCCGCTTGACTGCTTTCTCACTAATTTTAAATTGGCTTTTTCTCCAGAACAAGAAGATGAATATGGGGTGAAATTTTCTCGAGGAAAACTCCACTCCCTGTGCCAACTGGAATGGCCAGCCTTCAGGGTGGGATGGCCAGCCGAAGCGACTTTTGACCCCAGTGTTTGCCGGGCGGTTTGGGGCAAAGTCACTGGTAGCCCTGGCCACCCAGACCAATTTCCCTATATAGACATCTGGGTTCAGGCTTGTGAGAAACCTCTGGCTTGGCTGCAGTGCTGTTCCCTCTGAACAGACACTCGCATTTTAGTCGCTGCCCTAAAAGGGCCCTGGGAACTTAAACCCCGGGCTCCTAAGCCAGTTCTCTCACAGGAACCTGACCCCCTGGATCCCTTAGGAGGGCCTCCACCCTATGTGGAATCCTCCACCCCCTCAGATGGCTCCCGCTCTAGACCCCGCAATCCTTCCCTTCCTCCGTCTGTTCAACCTTCGGCTCCTACTCCTCTCTATCCTCCTCTCCCTGAGGGGCCTCAGTCCCCGGACTCTGTGACTTCTCCCCCCCACACATGAGCTGGGGCTGTGTATAGGCCTCCAAGGTCCCCACTGGGGAAATTAGTTCGGCCCCTCTCTTGCCCCTTCGGGAGACAGAACAAGGTCACTATGTTTATATCCCTTTCACTACCAGTGACATATAATTGGAAACATCAAAATCCTCCCTTCTCAGAGAAGCCCCAAGCCCTAATATCTCTCCTAGAGTCTATCTTCCATACCCATGATCCTACTTGGGATGATTGCCAACAACTCCTCCAGGCCCTTTTTACCTCAGAGGAGAGGCAAAGGATCCGGGGACAAGCTGTGAGGTCGGTACTAGGTGGACCAGAAGGCCCCCTAGATGACCAACAGTGAGCCTGTCTGGAAGCACAGCTCCCATCCACCCGACCCTGCTGGCAAACTAATACCTCGGGCAGGAGAGAAGCTCTCCAGAGCTATCATCATCATCTCCTGGCCAGCCTGAGGGGAGCTGCTTGGAAGCCTACCAATTTGAGCAAGGTAAGTGAGGTCCTTCAAGGACAAGAGGAATCCCTTTCTGCCTTTTTGGAGCATCTGTTGGAAGCATACCATACGTATACTCCAATTGATCCAGACACCCCTGCAAATTGGCAGGCAATAAATTTGGTATTTGTTACCCAGTCGGCCCCAGACATTAGAAAGAAGCTACAAAGACTAGAAGGATTTGAGGGAGAGAATAGAGAAAAGTTGAGCCATGAAAGGGAGGGAGCAAGGGAAGGATTCAACCCCTATTAGAGAAAGATCAATGTGCCTATTGTAAGGAAAAGGGCCATTTTAAGAAGGACTGTAAAAAGCTAAAAAGAAAAAAAAAAAAAGGAGACCCAAAAGGAAAAAGGTGAAATCCTCTTAGTAGATGAAAAAGATTGACGGGGCCAAGGCTCATGGCTGCTCAACCCTAGTGAGCCTATGGTGACTTTGGAGATAGGGGGAACAGATGTTCAGTTCCTTGTGGACACTAGTGCAGCCCACTCTGTCTTGAAGACGCCCCTTGGACCCCTCACTTCCTCAAAAACCTCCATTACTGGAGCCACTGGGAAAGTGGCCTCCTACCTTGGACCACTAGATGGACTGTGAATCTAGGAAAAGTCACCGTCACCCATTCCTTCTTAGTTATCCCTGAGTGCCCATACCCATTGCTGGGAAGAGACTTGCTATGAAAGTTGGGGGCTATTATTTCCTTTGAGCCTGAAAGAGGGACCTTTGAGCTTAAGCCACCCTCCACCATTACGGTGACGGTTCCCCTAGAAGATGAATTTAGATTGCTAAAGGAGGGTGCAGAGCTCCCCGAACAAAAATGGGACTACCTTCAGAAAAAGTTTCCCAGGGTATGGGCTGAAACCAATCCACCTGGGCTGGCCAACCACCATGCCCTGGTGGTGGTCCAGTTGCTGGCCTCTGCTGCCCCCATCTGTGTGCGACAATACCCCCTCCAGCTGGAGGCCAAGGTGGGAATCTCTAAGCACATCCACTGACTCCAAGAGGCTGGCATCTTGGTCCCTTGCCAGTCATCCTGGAATACTCCCCTGCTTCCTGTGAGGAAGCCTGGCACCTCAGACTTCAGACCGGTACAGGATTTGTGGGAGGTGAACAGCTGGATGGAGAGTGTCCACCCAACAGTACCAAACCCCTATACTCTGCTGAGTCTCATCCCTCCTGCCCATGTGTGGTATTCAGTACTAGACCTTAAAGATGCATTTTTCAGCATACCTCTGGCACCAGTGATCCAACCCTTCTTTGCCTTCGAGTGGACTGACCCAGACACTGGGACTACTGGACAGCTGACATGGACCCAGCTGCCACAGGGATTCAAGAACTCTCCCATTCTGTTTGGGGAAGCTCTCAGCAAAGATTTACGAGAGGTAAGGAGAGTTTTTCCCCAAGCAACTATTCTTCAATATGTAGATGACCTCCTAGTGGCAACTTCAACCAATGAAGAATGTCTTGCGGACACCGAGGGCCTCCTGGAAGTTCTCCAAGACCTGGGATATTGGGTGTCCTGAAAAAAAGCTCAGCTTTGCCAGACCAAGGTAACCTACTTGGGCTATATTCTTGAGGAAGGGAAGAGGAGGCTGGCAGAATCACAGGTATCAACAATTCTCCAGATTCCAGAACCAAGATCAAAAAAACAGGTGGGTAAATTCCTAGGGACAATTGGGTATTGCAGAATTTGGATCCCAGGTTTTGCTGAAATTGTCAAACCCCTGCACGAAGCCACCATGGGGGGAGATACACCCCTGGAATGGACTGAGGCTTGCCAGCAGGCATTCCAACTGCTTAAAACTACACTTGCTTTGGCACCAACCCTGGCATTGCCAGATATAACTAAGCCCTTCACTCTGTATATAACAGAGAAGAACGGGGTAGCTAAGGGAGTGATAACTCAGACTTTGGGACCATGGAAGTGGCCGGTGGCATACCTCTCAAAAAGGCTAGATCCAGTGGCTTGAGGGTGTTCCACCTGTCTGAGGATTGTAGCAGCAGCAGCTGCTCTAACCCGAGAGGCTGACAAATTGACATTTGGACAGGATTTGACTTTAGTCACTCCCCATGCCATTGAGCCCTTATTAAACAGCTCCCCTAGCAAGTGGCTATCTAATGCCAGGTTGTTACAATACCAAGGACTCCTATTGGAGCAGCCATGCATCAATTTTGCCACCACCACTAGCCTCAACCTGGCTACCTTATTCCCAGAGTCTGACGAACAGATGCCCATCCATGATTGCCTTGAGACTCTTAAAACTTTATGGGGAGGGTGTCTGGATTTAACGGACCAGGCCCTCCCCCAGGTGGAGGTCACATTCTATACTGATGGGTGCAGCTTCATGCATAATGGAGTACAATATGCCGGGTCGGCAGTGGTCAACCAGGACCAACAGGTAAAATGGGAGCAAGGGCTGCCCCAAGGGACGTCAGCACAAAAGGCTGAGTTGATTGCTCTGACCAAGGCTCTAGAACTAGGTAAAGGTAAAAGAATAAATATTTTCATGGACAGCTGTTATGCCTTTGCCACTGCCCATGTGCATGGGGAAATTTATCAAAACCGAGGGCTACTGACCTCTAAAGGAAAGACAATTAAAAATAAAACTGAGATATTGACATTGTTACAAGCTATTTGGCTACCATTAGAGGTTGCTATCATCCATGTCCATGGGCATCAAAAGGGGCCTAGCCCTGAGGTGATTGGTAATAATACAGCTGATCTGGCAGCAAAACAGGCTGCCCAAAAATCAGTGGGGAAACAGATGGTTCTGCTCCCCACACTGGTGCTGCCAGAGAAACCAGAGTACACAGATGAAGAAATGGTGGAAATGACCAAAAAGTGGTGGATCCAAGGTAAACATGGATGGTGGACAACTGGAAAAGTGGTGCTCCCAGCTGCTGTAGCAGACACAGTGCTACAAGAACTTCATGGGTCCACCCACCTTGGTGAGAAAAGAATGATGGCCTCTCTGTGACCCCATTTCATCAGCAAGGAAATGACACAAAAGGCCAAAGACCTAGTGAGATGATGCCCCACCTGTATCAAGGTAAACACAAACCAGGTGACTGGACCCCCAGGGGTCCAATATAGAGGATTAGCTCCAGGAGAACATTGGAAATTGGATTTTACTGAAATGAAACCCAGCATGTATGAGTACAAGTACTTATTAGTCTTTGTAGATACTTTTTCAGGATGGATAAAGGCCTTTCCTACTAAGAGAGAGACAGCCGAGGTAACCGTCAAAAGGCTCTTGACAGAAATAATTCCTCATTTTGGCTTGCCCTTAGCTCTGGGGTCTGACAATGGCCCAACCTTTATGGCTAAATTATCTCAATTCATCAGTAAAGCTTTAGGGATAAAATGGAATTTACATTGTGCTTATAGGCCTCAGAGTTCAGGACAAGTAAAAAGAGCAAATTGAACCTTAAAAGAGACTCTAACTAAATTATGCCTGGAGACTGAACAAGGTTGGGTAGAACTTCTCCCCTTTGCCCTCCTTCATACCTGGTGTACCCCTAAGCTGCCCCTAAATCTGTCACCCTTCCAGATTATTTATGGGCGATATCCCCCAATCATCCCTCTGGTTGACTTGGAGTTAAAGGAACGACTTTCCCACCTCCAACTCCTTAAGTCCCTAAAAACAGTCCATCAGCTTCAATCAGAGCTACATGATAAGCTGAAAAAAACTATGCCTGGTCCCAGTAAAAAACCTTTGCAACCCTTACCCTATAAGCTGGGGGATTTGGTTTTCATTCACAGATTTGACTCCAAGACCCTTGAACCCCCGCTGGAAGGGACCATTTCCCATCGTACTGGTGACTCCCTCAGCAGTGAAGGTAGCTGGACACTCTGCCTGGATCCACCGCAGCCATTTAAAGGCAGCACCCCCGGAGGAAGCGACATCAACATGGCTGATAGATCGGAACACAAAGGACCCCCTCAAGATAAGATTGATCAAAGACTAGTTTGGACAATATGGGGGTTCTTGGGACTACTGTTCTTACCAGCCCCAATGGAAGGGGGACCTGGACACCAGCTGGTGTTGTCCAGCCACACTCCCCAGAACTGGACTTGGTCCTTGAAAAATGCCTTAACGGGAGCTCACATTGCCACCATTACTACTGATAGACAGCCCCATTTTATTATACACCTGTGTTCTCTGGGGCTTCCAATCATTAGTGGTGGTGGGGGGGCTGGATCAAAGGGTAAAGTTTCATCTGGAAAGATGGGTAAAGGGGGTCATGGAGGGAAGTGTGGAATAGATGATAAGTTGAAAAAAACTCTCCAAGATATAGATATTTATGCTTGCCCCATAGGAAAAAATAAAAGGTACAATGGGGGACCAGGAAACCACTGTCATCATTGAGGTTGCAAATCTATTGCCCCGTGAAAAAACAATGATGCGTACTTGGCCTTGGAACGACAAACACCAAGTGGTTCATGTTCCAAAGGAAAATGTAATCCCATCAAGCTAACCTTAAAACAATGACAAAATCCATATAAAGATTGGGAAAAAGAAAAATCCTGGAAGTGAGACTCTATGTGGGTGGAAAGGACCCTACGACTGACCTCCTCATCCAGCGTAGCCCAGTAATAGTACTGCCTAAACCAGTAGGCAACATTTATAGGGTCTCCAGCCCCTAAGAAAAAAAAAAGACAAAAGGAACCTATAATGTGTCATTAGTTGCTCCTGAATCTCTGATCCAACCATACCTAAAAACCCTGGATGACATGTACACCCTGTTAAATGAGTCTAGCCCCAATCTTACTCAAGGGTGTTGGCTGTGTTTGAGTCCACATCCCCTGTATTATGTAGGGTTGACAGTAAATGGCACCTTCTCAGAAGCTGACCAAAATGAGTGTGATTGGAAACAACCGAGGTTGTCAATTGGGGATATAAAAGGAAAAGGGTTATGTGTTAAAAATCCAAGTGTTACATCATCTTATCTGGACAGTATATGTTCTTATCAGACACCCACCGTCAGTAATAAAAAATATTTAAAAGCTGAAAACAATACATGGTGGACATGTACAAATGGTATAACTCCCTGTTTATCCATGACAGTCCTCAATCAGGAACTTGAGGTATGTGTAATGGTCCACATTTTACCCCAAGTCACTATATATGGAAAAGACCAGGGTTGGAAATACCTAGCTAAGAGAACACACACCCGAGAGAAGTGCCACCCAACATTGATTCCTGTGTTAACTGCAGCAGGCATTGCGGGATCAGCGACTCTGGGTGTGACTGCAATAGGACTGCAAGACTTTAATTTCAAGATCCTTGCCCAACAGGTAACAATAGACTTAGGCCTACTTACCGAGTCAGTGTCTCATTTGAAAAAACAAGTTGATTCTCTGGCTGAGATGGTCCTTCAAAACCGCGGAGGACTTGACCTCGGATTTATAAAAGAGGGAGGGCTATGTGCAGCCCTAGGAGAACAATGTTGCTATTATGCTAACAAATCTAAAATAATAAGAGAAACTCTGGCCACTGTAAATAAACATCTACAAAAAATTATAATAGATTGATAAAACAGGAGGGATGGTTCCAGTCAATGTTTAACTGGTCTCCCTGGATGACTACCCTTGTTTCTGCCCTTGCTGGACCCCTGTTAATCTTGTTACTAGCTTTGACTTTTGGCCCATGCATTATTAATAAGCTTATGGCCTATGTAAGGGCCCAGATAGGATCTGTTCGTCTAATGATTTTAAATCAACAGGCCAAATATCATCCTTTAAGTGAGCTAGATAAAAAAGAACAAAGATGGAGACAAGAATACCAAGATAATGTTGTATAAGATTACACAGCTACAAAAAAAATCAGTGGGGAATGTAAGTCTGAACAACAGTTACTCCATCTTTGTAATAGGGCCCCAACTTTCTACTTCTGTAATGGATCACCAGGTAGATATCAAGTTCCAGGGATGTGCTTGTTGTTGTGCCAGGAAGGTCTGTTGTGTGCATAGTGTTCTGTCATGCTTGCCCAACTCCATATCTAAATATGTTATCTTAAGGACAATCTGTAAAAGGTCTGTTTTATCTCTCTCCTCTGCTTTTGTATTTCTGCTTACCAACTTCCCCTGAGACCCCCTATAAAAACAGCTTCGGACTCTGAGCCAGTTGCCTCTCTAAGCTACTTTGCTTTGGGAGTGCCATCTGGCCAGACTAATAAAGGTCTGTTTTACTTTCCAACATGTCCGGTGTGTTCCTTCCCGGGTGTTCTTCACTACAGTCAGCTCCTCGGAACATTTGGTAAGGCCCTCGGTCTTACACTGGCCTGGCTCCCTGGTTTCTCTGTCTCTTTAGTTCTGTCTTTGTTTTTTCTCAACCTTGTGCCATAGCATCAAACAAGAGATCAGAACCTACTGCAGACATCTCTAATAACAGTGAAACACACTTTTAGACTGTCAGTGTTGTAGACAAGGTAAGTTTTGTAGATTTATTAATTTTTTTTACTTTCTTGCCTTATAATCATGTAAATCCCTGTATATATCTCCCTATCCATCCAGGGGATAGCCAGGGCTACAAATTGGTTCCACAGGATCAATGAGTGCCATTGGAGACTTCCTATCTAATTTGAGGGTGACTGACCCAGTCAGTTGAAATTCAGTCTTTGACCTGTAAAATTATAGTGTATATACATTGCTTGGGGTGGGGGGTGTCTATCCTAAGTATTTAGTAGAGTTAGGCCAGTGAGAATAGGAGTGATTTTTCTTTGTTTTGTTTTCAACATAGGGGGCCTTTCTACTAAGTTGTCCTATAGTTGGAGTTAACCACATATAATCATCCTATATCTGAAAGTAGCCATCTTGATATCTGTGATAATGGTCAGCTACTGGTGTAATGAGAAACTGTCAGAAAGGGTTAGTAATTGGACCCCCTTTCTGTATCTAGCCTTTAGTACTATGGTATTGTTTTTATATATCTTTTGGTTATACTGTTTTTGGTGTTTAAGACCAAGTTAAAATGATACCTGCATTAATCAACATTGCTGTCTATCAAGGTCAGTTAAGTTTCCTCAGGCATTACTTTTGGAACCATGTATAGAGTCTCTTAGCTTCTTTATCAGTGTCAGCTGCCAGAATGGGTCGTGATCTTGCTTGACCATGTTTCTTTCTGTGAAAGCATGGAAGTTATTTTTTTCTTGGTGACCCTCCTTTGGTATAGAGAAAGGGTAATGGGATGTTGCCAGAGATACCTGCAGTGATCCTGGCCTCCTGCAAGCCAGTGATGTCCATGAGATAGGAAAGTGAGAATTAAAAGAAACACACAGAGATTTGAGAGAAACTGAGTCTTGGGCTGATCTAAGCTGCTCTGGGCAGCAAAGACAAAGAATTCCCAGGACATCCAGTGTTTATTCATTACAAGTGTGGGAAGGGGGTAAACTGGGCAGGCCTTGGGACACATGCTGATAACAAGTATCAAGCAGGCAGAACTGTAGAATGAGGGCACAAGTATATCTTTGCTGAAGAGGACAAACAGTTAATTCAGAGGGGAGAAATTTAGCTGGAGCTGAGTTGACCTTGGCTGGAAGTGAACTTAGCTGATTGGATTACTTCCAACATAACACAGTCAAATTATAGAAGGGCAAGAAGCTTGTGCCACTATAGCCTGCTAATACTGGGCAGAAGTGTCTGCTACACTTTGGTACATTGCACATTTGTTGATTCTTGTCCTCTGGGGTCCAGTGATCTCCTTGCTCAGGAGGTTGGGTGACTCACCAATGTTGTAGGATCCCATGTCCTGGGTCTTTATTGAACTTGGAGGGCCAGGGCCAAAATATTGGCTGTTCTTTTGGCCCAATTACCTTTCTAGCTCTGGTCTTTAAATTTAGTTGTTGAGCACCCAGAAGATAAGATCAGTTATATCAGTATTATAGTGGGAGCAGTGAGCTTAACTATTATAATCTCATCTGGATATCAAACACTTTGAAATGTACAATATAGCCAGAAGACTTTTTTGCTAAATATGGTTGTTTTAGAAGTTGAATCTCTGTAGAATGTTATCAGGTAATAATCATAAAGTTTATAGAGAAAATATAGTATTTTAGCATGACAGTTATGATATTATCTTTGAAACACATTTAAATGTTTATCTTAGCATAGGATAGCTTTTTTTGGGGGGGGCGGTCAGTCATCTCTATCTAATACAAAAAGAAGCTCTTACCTAATTTGGTATCCTTCAATAGAATATCATTAAAGAAGCATGTGACATTGTCTGGACTGCTCAGTGTCTGAGCATCTCTCTCTCTCTCTCTCTCTCTCTCTCTCTCTCTATATATATATATATATCACATAAGCTTTTTTAAAAATAAATTTTATTTCATTTTATCCCATTCCCTCTGTCAGGTCCCATCCCCTCCCTATGTACAAAAGCTTTGTTTCCATTTTTTCCTTCTATTTTCACTTTTTTCTTGTCTCTTCCTTCCTTTCTTCCCACATAAGCTTTCTTTTTCTAAAACTATCATTTGAGTGGTGATCTCTTATCACAAGTAGCTGGAGCACAAGAGAAGGGCATACATGTGAGTCTAAGAAAAAGGTTATCACCTTAAACAATCCTAGTTCTACATTTTAGAAGACCTGTACTTCCGAAAGGCATGAATACATTTAGTATACCATGAGATGAGCAATAATGAGTGTTACACCCATATGGAAACTAAAGGCATCTTCTAATAAGAAAAACATTGTGTTTACCCACAGAAAAATTAACCTTTTGATGATAACCAATATACACATATTACAATAACATGTTTAGCAATGTTAATTGAGATGTGTGTCCCATAGGGCTATGAAAATTACTGGGGTCCCATTAGTGAACAAAGGCTGGATTAAGATGTTTCCAGAAAGCTGCTCCTTTATTCACCAAGGGGAATCTCAGTTCAGCCTAAGGGGGAGGGTGGTCTCTATTTAATTGTCTTAAGAAATTTTAGATAATTTATGAGAACCATTATTTTTGAGCAATAAAAGACTCCCAAATTATTGTGCACAAACAATATGTATTGTATTAGTAAAACCAGTTTTGACATCATTTTGATCAGCTGGCAACCTGGATGAAAGTATGTCCTTAATCATAATGACATTTGTCTTTAAGCCATCTTAAGTTATAGACAAATATCTTACAAATCCAAAAAGGCAAAAAAGAAGAAAATAATTGTTGAGCTCAAACAAAACAGCCATAAATATTGTAACAGATTGAACAGACTGATGGACAAACACACATAAGACAATTTGTTTATAAACCAGAGTGCACTCAGGTGTATTTGGCCAAGTTGAATTATAATAACCCTGTTATAGTTTTTAGGTTTGTGACTATAAATAAGACTAGTCAGAACTTTGATAGACCAATTCACAGATATATCTTGTAATAAGAATAGGAAGGAATAAAAACCTTTTTCTCTTGTGAATACAAAGACAGGTTTTAAGATAGTTTGAGATAACTTTAAGATACATTTTAAAAATAGGTCCTAGGCTGATGGTTTTGTCTAGTAGCCACAGGCTCCCTGTGGAAGAAAGTAATCTTGTCATATTGTGAGATGTATATACAGTAAGATCTTTGCCTAAAGTTAGCTCAGACATCTCTGTATCAGTAGACCTATGGCAGGCACAGCTCTAAGATACATAGTCCATCCCTTTGATATAATGTCTAATTTATGACTCAAATACCCTACAGGCTATTGAGCAGGTACCCAATTCTACATAAGCACTACCAAAGCTGTGCCTCACTTTTCGTCAATATACAGGTTGAAAAGTCCTTTCAGTAGGCTCAGTGTCAGGGCATTTAGAAGTGCTTGTGTAAACTTCTGGAATGTAGTTTGGGAGTCAGGTTCCCAGGTTAAAATATGGGTATGTGCCTTTTGGACTTCTTTTATAAGCTGATAGAGAGATTATGCAATCTCCATATCTTGCTATTCAAAGGCAACAAAAGCCTGTAATTCTTAGGAATTGCCTTAGGTGTTTTAGAGTCTTGGGCTGCAGGAAGAAAAATAACAGTTTAATTCTCTCTTCTAGACTTTGGGTTCATATATATATATATATATATATATATATATATATATATATCCCAAATATTTTACCCCAAGGCTGAAAGTTGTGCCTTAGATCTAGAAACCTTATAACCCCCGTCTGCCACAAAATTTAGCAGAGCATGGCTGCCTTGGCTAGAGAGCTTTTCTGAGGGAGCACATAACAGTATATCATCTACATATTGCAAGACCATGACTTGGAAAAAACTACACTATTTAAACAAGATCCCCAAGAGGAGAACTGGACTTTCAGGCATAATTAAAAGGAATGAGCAAAGAGTCACATTTATAGCCTAAGGGTTGTGAGAAATAGTGAGTTACCTCTTCTCCAGTGACTCCTTTTACTGAGGTATGAGGGATGGAAGGAAGGCTAGGGTTGAAAAAGAACAGCAAAGAGACATGTGTTAGTGTTCAGCAATAGGCTGTTTTTTCCCCTATAGTCATGATTATCCAAGGCTCCTCTGGAGATAACAGTTCAACCAGAGGGAGATGGCAGAGAGTGTACTGGGGCCTTTTAGTCTTGTTGGACCAGCTAGTAAGATGGGCCTGATTCCTGGGGTCTTCACCTCAGGGGGCAGTCCAACTTTCAAGGTTTACCTGTGTAATCAGGGCATGGCTTAGGGGCCCTCCTAAGGCAATCTCTCTTAAAGTGGCCTGGCTTAGAAGCCTTACCCTTAGACCTAAAGGGTAAGGGTTGGGACCTCAGATTCTGAAGGACAAGTGAGGAAAGCCTTA